TTTTATTGGTCCGCTATCGAAAGTTCTCTAATATTACGGCTAATATGTAGTTTTTATTGTACTGGCCAAAACAGTTTGTACCAGGAATTGTAACATCTGTATATTTTGGGCTGCTTGTCATCTAAAATTAAACGGATGAAGCCGTACTGACCCTTAACCCCTTAGTTCCCGGCCCTATTCACGAGGGTGTATTCTTAACTCGTCACATATAAGTTTATATGGCTGCTTGTGTGTGGTTAAAAAAAGAAAGCTCAGGGTTTGGGGAGAGTACGTGCTAGGACGGTCACCCCACCTCCAAAATAATTCGTTTTATGTAGTCTCAATACGTCTCTTCATTAAGTATTGCTGGCTTGAAAAACATAAGCAGCGCCCTTTTTACTGATAGATCATTTTTTATACTGCTGCAAACGCCCAGCAACGATACGCAGCCAATTATTTACTAAGGAAAAGAGAGATTCGGTTTTGTTTCAAGTGATTGCAAGCACCCGAAGCAGATCAGCCACCACAGCAAGCAGGAAACAGACCGTGCTAACTACGGTTCATCGCCTTCTGTGTTTCCAGCCGACTCGTCAGCATTTCCGTCGCTCTGCTCGGCGGCGACATCATCACTATGCGCTTCGCCAGCCTCCGATTCTCGGCGTCTACGCTTCTTTCCCGGGTGCGAGGGTGGTGGGCGATGGCGCAGCTTGTGCTCGTTCAGCAGTAGCCGTGGGATGTCCAGTCCATTGCAGATACTGAAGCATGTCGTTCCCTTCTCGAGTTACATTACAAAGGTATGTTCCTCAGAATCAACACATCTAGATTAGAGATACATACCACACGCATGATGAAGCGGTTAGCAACGCACCTTTTGTTGCCGTTCGCGTACTCAAGGCAGATTTACTTTGTAAATTTCCTTGGCTGCACTTTGTAGATCGCGCACACTTTACACGAGCGCTGGACACCTTGCTCGCCGATGACAGTGTCAGGGTTCTCCTCTAGCCGATGACTATCATCAACACTTGCCGCGTCACCTTCATACGACTGCCGCACCGATCCTGACCGCGATGGAGAAGGTGTCGTTTTGTCTCGCGCTTGAGTGGCCCTCTGTTTAAATATGCAGCACACAGTGTAATTATGTTGTATCTCAGTAGCTAAACCAAACTGTTTTGTTGGATACATCGAACATGGTGCTCACCTCGATAGCCGCGTAAGTCTCATTTGAGTTAATTGCGAGTAGCTGCTCCATGAGTGTTTCGAAGAACGCGAAATGCTTTGCCGGACATCTGTTGTTAACCTCTCGGTGGTAGCGAAAAACAATATATGCGCTCACCCCATATCGAGCAGTCCTAAGAAAAGCGTCTTGTAGTACTTTCATGTCTTGTAGCATAACTGGATGCTGTATCGCTGCATCCGGAGTTGGTCGTGTACATCGACGCCTCCCATCCAGCGGTGGTAATCACGTACCAACTCCGAATCTGGTACCGGTTGCACCTCGCTGCGGACTCTCCGCACTACGACATATCCAAAAACATGTTAGAAATTGTAAAATAACAAGGACGTAAGCAAACTTTCTAACAGTGCCCGTTGCCCGGCTACCCCTGCTAGACAGGAGGTGTACGGGAGTACGACCCATCCACATCACTGCCGATATTTGAGGGTATCGACTGTGTGAGATACCGATTACTCTCCACAGCAATTTGACTCCACCGTTTTGGAGGCATAAAGTAAAAGAGAAGAGCCAGGGGTCGCCTGCCACCTCCATCGCACTATCACTTGATCCATATGGGCCATCATAAAGGCCGTGATAGCTCGGGTCAGGGCCAAACTTTGTAGGATCTGCAAATATCAAAAACAGAAATAATGCTAGCTCTTATGTTCGACAGCGGTCACACTCGAATGCGCTATGCTGGATATCGCAAACATAACATACCATACTCCCACCCGTCCGCTCTCATCTTGGAGATCCTCTGCTTGTCCCTCGCCGCCAACAGGCACACCGATTCCGGGAGACCCACCGTCTTTTTCTGCATCTCCATCTGTCAGCTTTCCAATGACCCAATCTTCCACCCAATTATCATCGTCGTCGTCATCTTCTTCGGATTCTTGTTCCTCGTCGGAGCTTAAGCCGGTACACTGTGCAGCACCACTCGCCATCCGATTAGCATCCCCATCCACAATACACTCCACCAAAGATGCTGGGCTGGGCATTGGGGTCGTCACCGAGCGACTTCTTGTCACCCGCACTTTCTTCACGAAGGACTGCTCGACGACGTGATCGTGAGCTAGGCTGCGTTTGTGCCGGAACCGGAGGTGACACGGACGCACGTGTCGTAACCTCTGAATCAGACGCAACAATAGAAGCCACAATATCAGCAAGCACTTTTCAACCTCCTTAGCCTCGTCCCCTGTTCTCGCTGCATCTTTTGCCTCTGCTTCAGTTTCCTCACACACTGCGTACGCTGCCACTGGGGGTTCGCGACTGGGTTTCGACTCACAATTTATCCATAGCCGTTGTAGTGCGCTTTGCCACCCTTCCTTTCGGGCGGGAATTTTTCACAGGCCGGGAAGACATCTTCTTTTTTTGCTAAAGCTTCCCGAAAAGCTGCGGCGCGTGCAGGCGGAGCTCAGGAGTGGCTTTCTTGGGCATAAGCCGGAGCATCTAATCTCAAGTCAAGCTTGTGTTGCGCGGGTTGGCTTTTCCT